TGTGAGATTTGACATTTTTGATATACAGGGCAGTTTTGAAGATTTGGATCTGCATGTGTGATTTTGACATGCTAGACCGCTGCTTATAAGTGATATTGAGGGACTTGAGATGAAAATGGTTTCATAAAAACTTGGAATTTGTGGAGTTAAAAGTGATTTTATCAGTATGGAATGAGAGGAATTTTAACTTCAGGAATAGTGCTCCAATTCAGCACAAATGTGAAGAATGAAGTTCAGTGCATGTGTGCAACTGACTGAAAACAAGCAAAGTTCTGATTTTCCAGATCATGTATGTGTACATGATAAACTAAGTATTGGTAGGTCAAACATGGTCAAACATGTAGTCATTGTGTATGTGTAGGTGATAAAGTAAGTGTCTGGTTTTACAGTTTTTGTTGTTGTGTATGCATAGGTGCCAGTCACCCTGCCATCAGCCATCCCCAACAACAAGGAACTGTTGAAGCTCCTGAAGGAGGTAACTGCCCCATTGCATACATGCTATTATCAAAGCCCATTATGCTTTGAAACAGCAGGATATGCTATCATGTACACATACATGATAGAATGTTTGCTAATTTATGTCCTCCTAGCCCCACAGATCATGTGAAGATGAATGCTGCAACAATTTGATATTAAATGAATGACAAAGAGAAGCTCCAGGCCACCCTCATAGTGAGCAGCTACCTCCTCAGAAGGCCAAGAAGTAAGAGATGAAGGGCACTCTCCACACTGAGATGTGACAAACAGCCCCTCTGAATGGCTTGTGTAAAGAATAAAAATTGACTTTTTGTCCAGTTAAATCCCAGCAGCTTTTATGGTTTCTGTGTGCCAGCCATTCAGGAAAGGACTGAAAAAAACGTGCGTAGTCATCACCTACACATACACAATAACTAAGTGTACTAAAACATGTACATGATAGAAATTGGTCATTCCAGACCTTGACTGATGGCCCAGTTACAGCAGCATCATATCTCTCATTAATGGTATTTTAATATGCCAATTCTCAAGATGCTCCCAATTTTGTAACTATTTTTGAGTTGTTAAAAGTATTTTTATGAGGTTAAACTCATAAACAAAATCACTTTTCAAAATGACTGGACCTCTCATTTCAAATGACCACAAGTTTCTGGAAGAGTTCTCACCAGAGGACATTATTGACAAATTATTAGCAGAAATTGATGCTGAATACGCCTGGTGACCACTTTCACAAAGTCATGCAAAGAATACAAGGCAATAACATGATGCCATGCCACCATTATCTTTATGCCAAGATCAAACCTGTCATGTCTATGGTCACAAGGGTCACCATGAAAGGCATGATGTTCATCCAACAGGATCCAGGGTGGTGGTGCATGATGGCCACCTGTCAATACTATGGTGCACAGGAGATGAGAAGTGAAATCCTCAATTGCATGATCTCTCTCAAGTCAGACATCCTGCTCAACAAGTCAGTGATTGCTCTGACCTACAGAGACTCTTTCTTTTGGAAGTTGCTGATGACCATTTGCTTCATGCTGAATCTCATCTGCAACGTTGAAGTGATCTCTGCATTTATATGTGTGTGCTCCATCATCAAGTATCTCAACCCACCATTCCTACAATGCAGTGACCTGTGCAAGAGGCAATGCTCTTGATTCATGGCATAGTGGATCCCATGGAATTCCAGATGCTTCCCATTCCTCAAAAAGCAGAGCGTAATACTGGTCCAAAATATACCATGTGGTTGTGCTCTTGTTGAAGTATCTGGGTGGTTGGACAATACTTACACTGTGACATGCTGTACTGGGAGAGGCGTCTACTAAAGGCCATGAACATTGGATGATCTTCCACCATGCTTGTGTCAATCACAACATTGCAGGTGTGCAGTTGGGTGCTGGGCATAAATGGCATGCATATGATGTCACATGTGATTTTTAAATGATTGAGGCATTCTGTTCAATACAGGAAGCTTATTGATGTCATCCCTGCCAAGGTTGTGCAGATTGGACCATGTGACATAGAATGTTGCAGTCCACAGGTTGAATATCCACCTGTTGGCTTCATTGTGCCTCTTGAAAATCTTGTGGCAGTGGTGTGCTGCTTGAATCATGATGCCCTTGCTGCACTCTGAGAGTTTTTGAACTGGTGCACCAAACTGGAATCCAAATGAGCAATGAGGTATAAAGATCATAAAGACAGCAGCCATATTGGTGGGTTTTCTGGCAGGTACCTTGCACAAATGTGTTTGCAAGAGGTGCTTGTAAAAGACATCCACATTCATGTAATCCATGAACCAGTACATGATGGCGTATTGCCTCAGTGACAGCATGCTGTGGTGCTCAATAAAGTTGATGATGTCAAGCAGGTCATTCTTGCTGATGTTTTTGTGTGCTTCAGGGATATCTCACAACACTGCTGCTCTCACTTAAAGGAGGCCTTGGATTTCAAGAGTCCACAATTTTCCACAAAGACTGGTGAAAAGCACCACAGTTTGTTGCCATTGCTGTTGGGGAGTTCTGCCAAGTGCATCTGTTCATAGGTCAGGCTGTTCATGGTTTTGAGTGGGTTGATGCCAGAGATTGCCATTGTCTGTGGTGGCTGCATGTTGCCCATGCTGTGAATGGGCAGCACTCAGGTGGTCCACATCAGCTCAGAGTTCCAAAAGTGTACAACATCTTTCCACCTTCATTGTCTCCCATGGGAACTTGGACACTTGTCCAACAGTCCATCATTACCAGTCTTGCCCCTTTGGTTCACCTTGCACTATGAAGTTCATGACCACCTTGGTTGTGCCACCACCGTGGGATTGTTGCACCACCTGTGGAGTGTGAACCACTTTCTTCCATACCATTTTTCCAGAGCAGTGTAATAGATGGTGGCCATGAGTGCAAGGTCTTGAGATGAATGTGTTGTGTAATTGTTGTCAACTTCTCCACAAAATCATTATCACTCAGAACTGGTGTAAGATTTCTGCTCATGTATGTAGGTCTGAATCAGCATTGTTTGTGCATGTGCTGCAAAAGCAATGCCACAATGACAACCTTTACATGGTGGCTCACTGAGTGGATGATGGGACATTGTTTAGATTGAAGAGTTCAAAGTCTAAAGTCCTGAAAGGACTTGCCAACACTGCTCTGTATTCCCAGAAGCAGTTCAGTTCCACCCAACTAACAACAAAACACCTACTCTCACCCAAGCATGACACTATCTTCTTCACTGTCTCTGAGGCGCTGGCTGTACGTGAAATGGGACAAGCTTGCCTTCATTGCTTCCCCATGACTTGTTATCCAATAACCATAGCCAGAATAAAGTCAGAAGCTGTGGATTAAAAATGAAGTAGAATAAATCAAGACATTTGCCTGATTTCACAAGCTCACAAAAGAGCAATAAGATCATGGAGGTGACTAAGTCCAACTTTGCCGCAGTGCTGCCCGACGTGAAGGAGGCCATCGCCGCTTCTGACTTCCTGTCCTTCGATCTCGAATTTACAGGTTCGATTCGTTTGCTACCGTCGATTGTTAATCAAAGTTGAAATTGATTGATTCTTCCATGTGATGTGCGCCACAGGCCTTACACTCGGCGGCTACCTCGACAACCACCCCGTCGATCTGCTCGAGGAGGTGCGCACTGTCCGCTTTGCTTTGTATTCTTTACTTGTCATGAACTCTGCCCTGAAACCGTTCTGTCTTCACCGCCACCAGCGATACAAGAAGCTGAAGGAGAACTCGTCCGCCTTCACCATCACCCAGTTCGGTCTCTCTGCCTTCACCTGGGACGCCACCGAGAACAAGTACGTTCCATGTCCTGCGCCGTTGTGCGTGTGCCGTAGTGCGTGTGCGTGCGGCCGCTGACGCCTGCGTGTGCGGTGTGCAGGTACGTGGCGCGTACGTGGAACTTCTACCTGTTCCCGCGTCCCTACGGATGGTGCGACAGGCGCTTCACCTGCCAGGCGGCCTCGCTCCAGTTCCTCCTCGAGCACAAGTTTGACTTTAACAAGTTCATCTACGAGGTACGTACCCACCCACCGACACACGCCGCACACGCACCACCGCACGCACACGACTGGCGCTGGGGCTGACCTTGGATAGGGTGTGGGCTATCTGAGTCGCTACGTCGAGGGGAAGATGCGGCCGCAGGTCGAAGAGGAGATCCAGAAGCTCCTCGACGCCGCGTCGCAGGAGGCGCTGCCCGACATCGTGCCCACCAACCCGCGCGACGTCGAGTTCGTGGCCGGCATCAAGTATCTTCTGCTTCTCTTCTAATCGAGCACAATTCATGCACATGTTTATTAATTTAATTATAATATAAATCCCAGGGCCTCGATCGACGGGTGGCTGCAGGGCGACGGCTCCGAGCCGCTCCTACTCATCGCGCCCAACTCCTTCCTCAGGCGCCTGGTCTACCAGGAAGTCCGCGGCAAGTACGCCACCGCCGCACTCTGCTCAAGCGCGTGTGCACCAGTGGTGGTCTCACCACCCGCTCACGCACCTGTGTGTTGTGTATTGTGTGTTGTGTGCGCATGGTGTGACACAGCTACCCGGAGCTCAATGTGGAGAAGGTGCAGGGCACGTGGGATAACATGTCGATCAGCCGCATGAGCGAGGAGGAGAAGGCCAGGCGCAGGGCCGAGCTCGTCCAACAGAAGCGCGACGTACTACGCCGCCATTAGCGCCTTCCCCTCCCCCAGCCCAACTAACCCCTCAGCAAAATACAGGAATTTGAGGCTGCCATCGGATTCCGACAGGTCTGGGAGGCCATGAGCGCGTCGCGCAAGCCCGTCGTCGGTACGGCTCTGACCATTCCACACATTCTCGTTCTTTTATATCTGTATTACTATATTAATATATAATAAAATATGATGCGCAGGCCACAACCTGCTGCTGGACCTGCTGTACAGCTACTTCCACTTCGAGGACCGTCTGCCGTCGAGCTTCCGCAACTTCAAGGTGGCCATCAACAAGGTCTTCCCCACCATCTTCGACACCAAGCACATCGCCGCCACCGATCCCGCCTACAAGGTACCCCCCCTACCCGACTCCACCCTTCAGTCAATCGAAGCCCGGGCAAACCATGCAACGCCGCAATTCGTTCGCTGCGTCGGGCCACGATACGTCACCACAGGACCGTTTGCTGAGCACGGGGCTGGGCGACGTCTACGCGGCCGTGAAGGGCGGCGTCAACGTGGTCCACGCCGAGGGCTTCGACCGGTACCGCGAGAACGAGGAGTACGCCCATGAGGCCGGTACGCTCCCTGCGCCCGCGTCCCTACGATCACCTGGTTGACGCCTTCGTCTGACGTCGTCGACGCGTTGCGTGTGCCATTGTGTGCGTGTGCGGTGTCGCCAGGTTTCGATGCGTACATGACGGGGGCCATCTTTGCTGCGTACCTGGAGCAGATCGTGGGCGCCGAGGCCCACATCGAAGGAGTCCCGCTTGTCGCCAGCGCCAGGATCCTTCAGGTTGGTCCACCACCATCATTCAATCCTCGTCGTCATCACCATCACCATCACCATCATCGTCACCATCATCAATTTCTTACGCTTCTTCTTACTCTTCTTCTTCTTCTTCTTCAATTCGAATCACAGTACGCCAACACGATCAACCAGTATGGCGCCTGCTCCGTGCTGCGCCTCGACCGCCCCGAGGACGAGAACGACTTTAGCAACGTCTTCCACGTCAGCATCAACCAGAGGCCGGCACAGGCGGCCGACGTCATGACCCTGTTCGATGGTGCGTGCGTGTCATGACCCTCTCCCTTCGGGCCGCTCGCGTTGCATTCCCTCTTCTCAGTACTAAAGTGAGTGTGTCGTGTGTGTTGTGTGTGTCGTGTGTGTTGTGTGTGTCGTGTGTCGCAGGTATTCCGGTGCAGCTCAAGTGGATCAACAAGACCAGCACGTGGGTCATCATCAATGATCGCTCCGTCCTCCCGCGCGTTTGGCCGCTCGTCAAGCAACAGGTACCTAACCTTGGCTGACTATGACACACAGCTCGCGCCTCTTCTTAACCTTCGTGTGCCGTGTGTGTGGTGTGTGGTGTGTGTGTGTCTCGTTGTGCGCAGCTTCAGACGCCCAAGGCGCGATCGCACGGGTTCGTGGTGCGGAGCTTTGCCGATTTCAAGGCGGGCAAGTCGCCCATCGACTGGCCGCAGCTGGCCAAGGCCGCCCTCGCCGGTCTCGCCCTCCCGCTGGGCCTTGCCTTCGCCCTCCACCGCCTCTCCGGCGCCGCCCACTGCTCCACCCACCCGTAGTGATTCCCGTGTAGTGGTTGTTTCTATTGGCGCTCCACTTCACGTTCACGGGGGACACGACTTCATCACATGGTCGAACTCCTCGAACGCCTTCGCGTCCAGTCCCAGTCCCTTGGCCAGCAGGCTGCTCAGCTGGTCGGCTGTTTGGCTTTCCTGCGCCTGGAGCTCGGTCTTGAGCTTCCCTTCTGGAAGGGAGTCAATGGCGCTCTTCCGCCTCGTCGTCGAAGCCTAGGTGCACGTCGAGGAGATCGACGCATCGTGCCGCCAGTCGTCATCATCGTCGTCTTTGAGCGAGTCGAGAGACGGCGACCACGCGAGGCCGACGAAGACTCCCCTTTGCCGCCCTCGAGGCCTGTCGCCGCTTCGAAAACCACCACTACGATGAGTCCCCCGCCGCCTTGGACGGGCTTTGTCCACTAAGGCCAGCTCGACCAGGCAGTTGGCTCGGTGAAGGTCGGGGCCTTGCTCGCCCTCGCGGAAGCTGGCAATGACGGCGTGCTTGCTTCAGGTGGCCGAGGGAGGCGAGGTCTGGGGTGGGGTAGTTGACCACCCGAGACATGAAGAAACTTGGGCACATTCCAACCAATGCTTGGGTTAGCTTACTGGAGAGGAAAATAGCTCATAAGCGCAAAAGCCACAAAACCAAAAATTCCCAGCTGATGTTGAACACTTCCATCTCCTGGCCTCTCCCATCGTAGTGGGGCCATCAAGGACTGTGGGGCTGTCTAGGACGTGCCAAAGCCTTCAGCTGAATGTTGCACAACTCTCTCAGTTCTCACCCACACAATTTTTCACACCCCACTCCTACACCTCAACGGTGAGATCATTGCAAGGTGTTGGGTGAGGCAACGGCCCGTGGCCCACTCGCCGCCGCATGGTACGGAGAGAAAACAACACTTTACCGGACCTAAAAAGTCGGAGTTTACACACTTTTTCTCCGCAACAAGCTTACCTCGCAAGCAAAACCACGAGTACGACTCCACCTTCAACTACAACTACGACTACAACAGCAAGACATGATGAAGGAAAAGGGTACGGTGCCTCGCTATGTGGGTAGGCGCCTGGTCGCATGTGTTGAATCACCTGCCTCACACGAACATGTGTGGCCAAGCACAGAAGCCAAGCCGGAGCGTTTTAAGCAGAGACGTCAAGAAATCGGAGAAGAAGGCAGCGAGGTATATGATCATGCACCACAGGCGGCGCCCAAGGTAAGAAGCTTTGCAACTGACAGGCACGCCTCGGCAATAGGCGCAGGTCGGCGATGTGTGGAATCTCTCCCAGCTGTCGTCTCACCAACGAGCTCAAGTGGCTTCGGTGTTGGCCGAGTGGCCACCCATCAAGGGCGCGACTGCTCTCACGTACACCACCACCGGCCACTGCTTGAGATGAGCCACAATGCTGTAAGCACACCACTAACAACATGGCGGGCTGCTGAGCAGGTATGACAATACGAGAGCTTTGGCGGAGCTCGAGCGCAACAGCAAGTTCAAGAGGCTGGCCTTCAAGCAAGGCATGATTCGGCCCTTTCTGCTCCTGGCCTCCATGCACCCCGAGACCCGCGCCACCTGGGTACGCCCACAACAAGGATTGTTGACATTTTCAACATTTGTTTTTCTTTTGTCCCGATTGGTTGATGCCGACCAATGGCAACAAACCACCAGGCCATGAGCCTTGAGCTCAACCTGCTGGCCCAGCCCTTCTTCGGTGACGCCCACGCCGAGGCCTGGCACGGCTCCACAATCAATCCTGTTCAGCGGTTTGCAGAGCGCCTAACACTCGTGCCGCACACAGGTTCATGATTGACAAGAACCGCCAGGGCATACAGGCGCGGGCCAACCTGGCGTTCAAGGAGAGCCTCAACCCGTTCGCCAACAACTGCAAATGGTACGAGATCGTGGAGCGTGTCACCCGCAAGGCCTTTGCCAAGGACAAGCGCCACCTGGACCCCGACCTGCGCCGCGAGATCAAGGCCGCGCGGCGCAAGTTCGGGCAGACCATCGGGCCGTGCCGCGACCCGCACGACCCCACTGCGCAGCACATGGAAGAGCTCATGTTGCGGGCCTTCTTGCGGTTGGTCGTGGCGCAGTTGTCTAATGGGGAGCGCCAGGCGATCGATGATATGGGGGAGGAGCAGGACGACACCGACGAGCTTCGACAGCGCATGAGGGCCGCCGGGTGGACCGATCCGGGCCTGATCCGCTTCACCATCGGCCTGGCCCAGTACGAAAGAGCAAAGGTGAACGTTAACCAACCCTGATTGTGGGCCGGCTGGCTGACTTGCGCCTGCTGACATTGCTGGCGTGCTACGTAGGCCGAAGCGATGGAAAGCCTGGCGGATGACAAGGCAGAGGCCAAGTATGGCAAGGAGGCCTTCTGCATTGGCTTCAATGTTGGTGCGGTCTCCCTTCGAGCTCCATGGTTTGTAAATGCGGAAAAGCTGAGCTCCTCTTTGTGGTGGCAGTGATGCTGTTCATGTCATCAATCTTGATCTTTCCAATCATTGGCATTGTGGTACGTGCATGTGTGCTTCGCTCCACCCACAGTACAATCATTATTCTTCTCATGTAACCCTTGTTTCCCACAAACACCAGATGCACACCCTGGGAATGGTGTGGGGCAGCACGCCAGGAAGGCTCATCCCCACCCTCCTCGGTACTTAGCCCACAGTGCCAAGAGGCTCAGTACGAAGACTGATCTTGTGGTTCCCTTCCTATGCAGGTATCCTGCAACAGAGGCTGTGGCTCAGCCTGGCCGGCATCAGCATTGAGGATTATTATCCATAATAATCTGAATAAGAATAAAATTGTTTTGATTCTCTCAACACTGAGATAGAGTCACTACAGGGCAACATGGCCAGTGTTGGCCTCGGACTCAACAGTTAAGAGGCCCAGGCTGCACTGGGAGATGATCGAGGGCAACAAGCCGTGGAGGAAGCCCCACACGCCTTCTTGCCTGTAGATCGCCGCCATGG